TTGTGACGGACGCGCAGGAAAAATCCTATTAACCGCTTCGATTTGTTGATCCCGCGGGAAGTACCTCCCTTCCATTCTCTTGTTTTCTTTTCTCTCTCCGGTTCTTCCTCATCATCTTTTCCCTCTTCTTCCTGTTCGCCTTTTCATTCCTATTCTATAAATATCCTCTACCCATAAAGAACCTTGGGATACGTAAAATTAAGAAAGCAACACAAACTTTACACGATGCAAACATATTTTTTACTAACCAGTGGGCGTGGATGTTCTTTTCCAAGTTAAGAGAAAATGGAGTGTTGGATTAATGCAGGAATTAGTTACGAATCGTGATGGTGAAGATAAATATATCAATTGTAATTCCAGTGGTTAGGCTTATATAAGCAGTAGCGAAGACTGATAACTGCAGAACATTGTGGTAGCAAGTAGTCATTGTCAAACCACTGTCATTTGTTATTGCCATTTTCTCCACGATAATAATCATCAAAATTAACACATGTCACTGTTGCTATCATTTTTACTATTATTTGAATCTTTGCCTTAACTTTTCAGTCCACTTTCTTATCGCCATTATCACAATAGGCCCATCTGTATCTTTCGTATCTGTTACTATTGTTATTATCATCATTACCTTTGTTCCTCCTGTCATTACCTGTCGATGACAATAACTCCTTGAAACAAACAAGGCAATGTTGATAATGAATACTGTGGTAATATTATATCCATTATTAATGTCACGACCTTTGCTGCAGTTACCATTGTGTTTTTACTGGTGCCATGGTCATTACTGGTATAATCTGAATTATCACTGTTGCTATTATTACAGGTAGTAGTCAAGCATCACTGTTATCATTTTAAAATGTTTTTATCAGTATCATGGTTAACTGTTGTCATATCTTTTTATCATCAGCAGCCTCGTTACTACTGCCAAAACAGGGAAATCCAATGTGGTACCGTCACCCATTGGCATGAAACCGCACACGTACTGTTTAGACACATGCATAACACAGTGGAATAATGCAGGGGAAGGAAGGGAAGAGAGAAACTCGTTTTGCTTTTTTCTTCAGTTCTTTCTCCGTGATTATCTTCTTTATAATAATGGGAGTGGTGAAAATGTAATAATTTCGTGGTATTTGAGATGGTGTTAAAAATGCAGAGAACGATAATATACATCGCCTGATTTGGATAAACTTGATAGCAATTCAAAGATGATGAAGCAGCCATTGCTCAATCAATACGACTACCGTTTTACGTCACTCACTTATTTTTGCCTAACGTAACACCTCCTGGAAGAACAGGGGCACCGATAAAGTTTAATATGAAATAAACAGGGAAAAGCATCTCACAGAAGAACATGCCCTCTCTTGTGCAACACGAATAATGGTGAACATGTTTGAACTTAACATTGAAGTATTTCCCTGTTGAATTGCACCTTCGTCCATATGCTGTTACACACAATATCCGCTATTCAGTTACCATTGTTCATAAGGACACGTGGATCCATTTCTTAGGTTTTAGATATCTAAATAAAAAGCCAATTTGTATATATGTTAATACAAACAATTTGCGTTTGTCTGTGGTCGTGCCACCCATACTCTTTGATACGATCAATAGAAAACGAGTGCAACGCAATATTCTCAAAATCCAATCAAATTAATAAATGGTATTAATCGTTGTCCTCACGATCCTCTAAATAATGCAAGGAACAGGACTTTCTTGTGAAAAAACTACCATATTTTTCACACGTTTACATTCATCTTTTGTTTCGAATCATGATACCTATAGTTGATGTAGAGAGAGAGTCATATCTATCATTAACTAGCTAAGCGTAAAATACCTCCTGAAAAGGATAGCGATATAAATCCATAAATCCATAAAAATGCAACTGAGCTCGTGGAATGGAAGACATGAAAATGAATGAGGAAAAGATGAAAATAACGTACTCAGCAAAGATATATTGCTGTACAAGGGTTTTGGAGTTACCCGTATTCTTAAAGACCGAGGATTTACAATAGTATAAAAGACTTCCATCTCTATTATCACTTTATTACTGAGTGGCAACAATTATTAAGGTAGGCATATGATTTCAATATTTTACACTTTAATTTTTCCCTTTGCCTGTAGAATTTTCTTGCAATCAGACCATCTTCTTATCAAAGCGTACATGTATTTTTATATATACATGTATATGTTCTTTCTTCTTTATTATTTTTATTTATTATATATAAATGTGTAATCCTCTGTACCTAATCTTCAGTAGGAAATTTACGGTTAACATTGATGGATTTCATGTTTACATTTTACCAAAAATGTATATTTTTAAAAGAGTCAACTTGAAAGAAATAACTGAACGCTTTTGACCTCTGAACCTTAAAAAGGAAGCCTTTAAATGGGTTAATAGACACGCAAGGACGTCAATCGCCTTTTCATTGACGGAAGGAATTCCTATGTATATAACTTCAGATTATCAGCCATTGTAAGTGTAGATGATCATTTTTCGTGATAGAGCCAATCCGTAGGCACTGGCAACGTTAGAATTAATGAGTAAAGAGTCAGAGGCATGCAAATTACATCAAATTTACATGCCCGTTTTTCATCCATCATCCAAAACTGTATGAAATTTTAACACTTATCATCTCGTATGGCGGCTTCTATTGCAATACCCTACGGTATCATGACTATTAATAAAGCAAAGGTAATTCCAGAGACAATTTCCGGTCTGATCCGGAACAGTTGGCAAGATCTATCCTCGTACGACAAACAACAAAACAAAAAAAGAAGAAACTTTCACATGTGGGTATCCTGATGGAGGATTCTAGCGGACTACCAACTGCAACGATTCCTCCGCAGTTAAAAACAAACGAACATGAAACGCACAACCATTCAAGATATCTGCAGAATTAAATAGAAAGAAAAGAAGAGCATAACCATGTTCTAGACAACTAAATTCCCTCAAGAGAAAGAAGAAATACAACGACTCGAAAAGGGCGTCTGCTTGCAGGGGTTGGCGAGCGTGCCGCGCGACGTGCTCGAGGACCAGCTGATTCAAGATTCCAAGGTCACCGCCGAACCCACGTGGTCAGGGATGCTGCCATGGTTCGTCTCGCGCACCTGAGTTACTGTCAGTGGAGGGGGCTGAGGGCAGCTGCAGGTCGCCTATTCTCGCAGCCGTACGTGATGTGGAAGCCCAAGAGGGAGTACCAGGCGGGAGTAGACCACCAGTATGAGGTATTATGGTGTTGACAGTGGTGTTTTGGGGTGAAATTGGGATGGATTTGGGTAGGATTTTATGTTAGTTACGTAATCAGTACCATGGATGGGCCCAGGAAGTGTAACGCTTGAATGAAAAGTGATGAGGCTTGTTTGTGTAGAATTTTTGTGTATTTAATTAAGAATGTTACGTAAATTGTTTTCTCTCAGAAAATTTACAGATGCTGTTGCAGTCTCGTTATATTATATAACAGTTAACACGTATAATGTGACGTGTAAGTTGTTCCTGTCGCAGTTTACAAAGAATTGTTTTTGGTTGGACTTGAAAAGAAATACGTGATTTGACCAAGGAAAAAATTATGGTCACCTTATCAGAAGCAACTAAGATAATATATCATGATTTAAAATAATTGCATAAGAGTATTCAGTATATTGATTTCAACAAAACTTTCTTCATAGTTAGTTTTGCATATCTATATGAACAAACAAACCTTTTGCACAACAATTTTTAAAGTAATTGCCATGTACCTTCACCAAAAATGCAATCTTACTATATGTGATGATCTATTACAGCCTGTGTTGATTTGATTGCTTCTGTACCCTTATTTATAATCATTAGTAGATACAATGTCTCAATAATCAAAGATCCTATTGAATGTTGTACTCCTTGGCCTGGAAGGAGAGTGACAGTTTAGAAATGCCGTCAGAGTTGTCAGTCTAATGTCACAGAAACACACAAACATTCATATGTAAACAATCTTTGTATGATTGTATTTGTTGCAATTAACTCTTCCTTTTCTAACTGCAGATTGTTTTGAAGGCTTTTTGAATTTTATTTTTATGAAATGTATCAATCCAGTGATTAGAAAGTTTGTTCTTTAATTCCCTTTCTCACTTGGTTCCACCAACTTTCAGGAAGCAGTGCAAGCCCTAAATTCCCTGCAGACAAATGCCTCGGTGCTTCAGGTGGCTCGGGAGCAGGGCTCACGTTCAGGCCTTGTCAATATACCCACAACTGAACGTTTTTTGAAGAAGGTTGGCGTAAGCAGGGATGAACTGGATAAACTATCTGTCATCCATGTTGCCGGTAATATTCTTTCTAGTCATTGTTGATATTATTGTTGTTATTATTATTTTTTTCTTCTTTTTTTATTTAATATTATTTAATGATAATGATAATGATTATTATTATTATCATTATTATTATTATTACTATCATTATTATTGTTATTGTTATTGGTATTATTATTATTATCATTGTTATGGTAATTATTTGTATTGTTATTATTATCATCATTATTATTATTATTATGTCATCAAGTGTTTATTATTAACCCAATGCTGTTGGGGAAGGTATGCATAAGACATGTCATGCCCATTGTGAGAGGTTATTGTCGTTAAACATAGAAGGCTCCGTAAGTAATTAGTTACAAAAGAGTCACCTGTTTATCCTTTCCCTTGATTTTTTAGGAAATATTCTCTTTTGTCTTATATTACTATTAGTAATGTTAATGACATTATGATGATTATAATGTCCTTAATAGAAATAACAAAATAGATAGAGATAGTATTAGTACAAAAAGAAAAAAAACTCAAGAAAGTTTAAAACAAATGAGGCCATAAGGTCTACTAATTGACTCTTTGGTGGCTAAGCACGTGTAGAGCCATCTATGTGTAGAGACATTATACAAAAGAAAAAATAAAGTATGCATTATGTTTTCCGGGAGGCATTGGGTTTATGCATACAGTATAGTTATTCACACAAAATATATAGGTATTTAAGCCATCTGTGGCATTTTGAAATTTTCTTTAGTTATGTCAGTAGGAATCAGCATTTAGCAAAACAGATGCCTCTTGCAGCTGGTCAAAATTTACCAGATTTGTGTGATGGCCATAAAAATATGGTAAAATAGGAAATGAAAATATTTGCACCCAAATGATCTAATCAGTCCTCAACAGTACATTAAAAAGAAGAAGGAAAAGACATTAACATACAAATTCTATCATAAATTCTCACAAATGCAGGAACCAAAGGCAAAGGATCAACCTGTGCCTTTATTGAGAGCATTCTGCGAGAACATGGGTATCGAACAGGCTTCTACTCCTCTCCTCACTTGGTGGCTGTTCGCGAGAGAATCAGGATAAATGGGCAACCCATCAACAAGGAGGACTTTGCGCACTACTTCTGGGATGTGTATAATACCCTGGCAAGTCAGAAGGTATGAAAATTTGAAGAGCAGAGGCTTCTATTTGGAAAGTTTTTTTTTTTTTTTTTTTGCTAGGACAGGGGTTGGTTGTGGGATTGAGAGAAAGAAGCGGGAATGGAGATGTCAAGAGAGAGAAAGGTGAAGGACAGAGTAGATAAATGAGTGGGAACATTATTAGGAGAGATAGAGTTTAGTTATATCATTATATATTATTTGATATGCTGAAGGTGAAATCTTTTGTAATCATATCATTTTAATCTTTAGGAAGACGAAAAGGATATGCCTGCCTACTTCAAGTTTTTGACAGTACTTGCTCTTAAAGTTTTCCTACAAGAGGAGGTGGATGTGGCAGTGTTGGAAGTTGGAATTGGAGGTGAATATGACTGTACCAATGTTGTCAGGTAAGTTTTATTGTTGTTTTCTTCATTATTATTCTTTATGTCTTTCTATTCTTTCATTCTTTCTTAGCTGTATCTTGACCTGCACTGACACTTTTGGTGGTATAAATCTTGATTTTTTCAATGTGGCTCTTTATATTGCTTACTATAATGATAATAATGTCTATTTTATATTCCTCTTGATTTTTTTTAAATTATCATATTCATGTCTCATTTCTATTCTTATTTAATTCTTTTGCTTTTCCTTTCCCATTTTCTCCCTTATCTTGTCCCTTGTATCATACCTCTTGGTTTCCCCCTTTCTTCCTTCCTTCTTTATTCATTCATGCATCCATAGTCTGATATTCAGATGCTTATATTATTCTCAAGGAGCTTCATTTATATCTTAAGAGGTTGTCTTTTCTTTCATTCACGAATCACCCAACCTCCAGGAAGCCTGTTGTATGTGGCATAACCTCACTTGAGCTGGACCACACCTCCATCTTGGGAACAACAGTTGAGTCCATTGCTTGGCACAAGTCAGGCATCATGAAGCCTGGAGTGCCAACCTTCACAGTGGAAGAGCAGCCTGGCATGGCTATGACAGTGCTGTCAGAGAGGGCAAAGGAAAAGGAGGTGAGTGAGGAATCTTTTATATTTGGTTGAGTAGGAATTACAAAAAAAAAAAAAAAAAAAAAAAACATAAATGAAGCTTCTGGGGAAACGTAGTGTATGCACTAACATAGGAGGATCAAAACCCTTTAAAGGGACATGCTGATATTTTTGGCCGGCATTTGTTCTCATTACTGTCTATTGTACAGGGAGGGGTCTTATGCTTTCAACTTCATTTGTCTGCATTTCAAATCATGGATATGTTGAACAGTTCTCAATTTCACAAAAGGTTTAAGTTAAAGAATACACCAACTTATTTTTTTCCAAAAGAAAATAGGTGAAATTCGTTCCATTTTACTTATAACTTTTTATTGATCAATTTGCATACAAATATTTTTTAAGAGGTAAATGGTCAATGAGACTTGTTAGCAGAAAGAATTTGCAAAGCCTGTAAGGTATTTTTTCAAGCACAGTTACCCAATGAAAAATATGTGTACTAAAAAAAAAAAAGTGTGCTTGGTATTGGTATAAAATAAGATACGGCAAGCCAGAAACAGTGTTATAGATTAATGTACATGCAGTTGATCCATTCATATGTTGTTAAACCTTGTGTGATTCAAGTTATTGATTATTTATTTACTTGTTTTTTTTAGAAATAACCATTCCTCTGCTATTACATTACTTCCAGACAAAGTTGTACATTGTGCCACCTTTAGAGAGTTATGGATGGGGATCACGCCCCTTGCAGCTGGGTCTCGCTGGGAATGTACAGTACCGTAACGCATCCCTGGCACTCCAACTCTCCCAATATTGGATTGACTCTCAGGTGAAAGGTAAGATACGAGGTGTGCTTAGAATGTGTTAGTAGAGATGTTGGTTATTAGTGTTAATGAATATTTTATTCATTTATGTTGTATATTTTATTTCTATTTTTTTTTTTTTTAGATACTGTAAGCTCTGTTCTCTTTGAAATTATATGTTTTTCTAGTTAGTCTGTTAAAGCAAGATCCTACTGGAATGAGAAAATGTTAGACTTTCTTCTAGTAGTATTTTTAAAAAATTGTAATAGGGTAGGACTCCGAACAGTATTTCTTCCTTGATTTTGAATGTATTAAAGAAATTGTATAGTGCAGTGGGAATGTATTCATCTCTTTTGGTGAAATAATATTTTATTGAAGCATTCTCATAACCTCATCTCTTTTGTATGTCATCTTTGTTGTACACACACACGCACAAGCACACACACATACATACACATGTGCACATACATTGTGCATATATATATTATATATATATATATATATATATATATATATATATATATATATATATATATATATATATATATATATATATATAATATATATATATATATATATATATATATATATATATATATATATATATATATATATATATATATATATATATATATATAATATATATATATATATATATATATATATATACATATATATAGATATATATAGATATTTTTCCTTCTTTTCTTTTTTTTTCCTTATGAATTTTTCAATATATATTTCAGAAATAACGTGTCCTCTATTTTGATACCTATTTTCTCAATCCCAACTTCCCAATTTTTCCTTTCTTTTAAGATGTATTTTCTCTATCCAAATTTTCCCTTCACATTGGCTTCACTTCTATCCCAATTTACTCCTCTCCCCTTCCTTTGTTCTCTCATTTCAAAATATTGTCATCAGGTTGTAGTCCAGTTATTGACACTACGACTTCTGTAAAGGTTGAAAACTGCGGGTGCAGTATGGCATCACCTTATACACTAGCCGATGAAGAGGTGTGTGGGTTGAGGTCGGTGGTGTGGCCAGGGCGTTCACAGGTAGATATGGCTTCTTCCCTTTCTTTCTTTCTAATTTGATTTTCACTTTCTTTTTTTCTTTTTTGAACTTTAGCTTAAACTCTTTCAATTTGTCTGTTAAAGAAAATAATGGTTTTGAAATATCTGTACCCTAGATGTCCTTCTCCTCTTCCTTATTCCATGTGCTCTTTTAACCAAAGATAATCATAATACTGAATATAAAACTAGTCTTTACAAAGTCATTTCCTTTAGATCCACACATCTACTTTTCTTCTCCCTTTGTTTAGGTGTTGCCATTGGGTTCGCTAAAGTTTTTCATTGATGGAGCTCACACAGAGTCCAGTATGCAGGCATGTGTAGACTGGTTTTCAAAAACTGCACCACTGCACACTACCGCCCATGAGTAAGCCGCATCACACTTTCATGTTGTGATTTTTTTAGAGATATGAATTGTAAAGCATTGTAAAGGAAAGATTTTGATTATTATGAAATGATGCCCTGTGTCTGTTTTGTGCCTTTTTCTCTGTTATAGATTTTAAAACACTACTCTCTCTCTTTCCAGTGATGCTACTGTGTACCGGGTCCTTATGTTTAATTCCACTGGTGACCGCAACCATGAGACTTTGTTGAAGTGCCTTTCTGAGTGTGATTTTGATCTGGCTGTGTTTACAACCAATCTTGTCACAACATCCATGAGTGCATCATCAGGTGAGATGTTTGACATGGCATATCCTGATGTCCTGTTTTTGTAACCTCTGAAGTTGGCTGCATCTGTTCTTTTGAGGTTGAAAACTGGAGGAAAAGTGACACTTTAGTAGGTAGAAAAAGCAAGCATACTGAAAACAAAAAAAGAAAAGAAAAAGAAATAGCTACTTGTATGGTCCTCCATAATGAAGAATATTGACAAAGGCCATTACTTCCACTTTCACCGGATAAGTTTCAATAGGTATCAGTGAGCTTAATATCATACAGCAGTGATATCCATAGTGTAAATAGTTGTTGAGATTTTTAAACAAAATTTGAATGCTTTTGTTTTATAATATGATGTTGATACTGAGAACTGTGTTTATACGTACAATTTGTATATTACATTACATGTATTTAAGCACAGCCCTCTTTTTGCTTAATTTTCGACAGTATGCTTTTAGGTCATTCCTTTTGTAGTTGAAGTTGTTATCAAGTTTAGGGATTATTTAAAGATAAATGCAATTTTAAAATATCATTCCTTTTGTAGTTTAAGTTGTTATCAAGTATAGGGACTATATTTAAGGAATAAAATGCAAGTTAGTATCAGTAACCCATGCTTGACAAAATAAACAAGCAATCAATAAATAAAGAAAAAATAACTTCAGTGATTTATAACTGGGTGTTTATTAATTACTGATATAATTTGATATAAACATTTCTCTTTTGCTTTCCTTATTTTGGTAAGATTTACATTACATACTGATTTCCAGTCATGTTTATACGAAGATTGTCAGCCATTAAAAGACAACTTGATCTTTTGGTTATGCGTGAGTTTGTTTTATTTTTTTTACCCTCATGCTGTCCAATACTAGTTATTTATTAAATGAAGCTTCAGTGATTGTGGATTCCCAAGTTTGTTCAAAGTGATATGCTGTATATTTTAAGATTATTTGTTTACCTTTTGTATTTTACTTGTCAATTTGAAATTATTTTAAACCTCCAGCATTTGAGAAAAATGTCCCTTTTGAGTAAATCATACCAAATCTGTTTTCTTCCTATACCTATATAGGTAACCATTAACCCATTGCTGTCAGGAACTTATAATGACCACTGTAGTGTCGTGCTGTGACCTTAAACTTGTGTTGAGTTTAGGAAGTTAATCAAGTTTTGATATTTCCCTGTGACTCTCATTCCACTTTTATATAGTTTGTGTAAGATATACAGGAAAGTAAATGAATTAAGAAGTAAAAGATACATAGATCCTCAGTAGTTTCTAAAGTTATTAAGTTCTCTTCTTTAATTTTTTTATTTACAATTTTATTTGTGTATTTATTCTAATAAATCTTATATTTCCTTCTTCCAAACTTTAGATCAGACGAACTATACTGTGTCTCAGGATCAGATGCACCTACGCTGTGAGAAGCAAAGGAGCTCATGGATCAGATTAAGGAGGAACCGCAAGGCCGCTCAAGGAAATACTTGTGTTGAAGACAGGGAAGCCCCATTGCTTCAAGAACAGGTTTCTAGTGACTTCACTGAGAGTTTGAGCAACCTTCCTGCTATGGATGTGCCTAGCATAATATTTCCATGCATTCATGATGCACTGAAGTGGCTGTCATGTGGCCGTGAAGCAATGCTGCAGGGGGACCTTCTTCAACCTCCAGCTTTTCCACCACCTAGAAAACTGGAGGAGGCCTCTCAGGTCCAGGTTTGTAATCATTTTTTTCCTTTTATATTTTTTTTGTTTTACCCTCTTTTCCTTCCTTTCAACTGCAGATGAGAAGTAGCATCAGATATCTCCTTCCTCCTCTTCTTTGTTTTCTTCTTCCTTTTCCTCTTTTTCACAGGATTATGTTCTTATTCCTACAGATTCTGGTGACTGGGTCCCTGCATCTAGTAGGTGGAGCCCTCAGTATCCTCGATCCTGGGCTGTCATGTGCCACACACACCCGACACTCTCCAACCAAACCTCCCTCGCTGAGTGATTTGGTCCGTAGCACCTATGCTGAAGTATCGTCACCTGGGGCACCTTGATGCACTAGATATCATAAGGCCTAAACTTTATTGCATTTATGGAATGACATTTTTGAAGCCACTTAAATTGTCTTTGTTCACTATGGGAAGTTGTTCTTGGGAGTTTTGGGAATAAATTTTGCACAATTTTAACATAGAAGCTGGAAAGTATACACACAACCCACACATTGCTCACACATAGCTCGTACCTCAGTGCTTGTTGTATATTTTTCCTGATTTTCCATTCTTCTGTTAACCCCTAATTTTGTTCTCTACTTTTGAATTATATAGTTTTCTTCTGTATTATAAATTTTGTGTAAAGCATATTATGATGATAATCGGTTTATGGTGAGAATATTGACTGTCCATTTTTTTTACACATTGATGGCTCGACAAGTGCTAAGTAACCAAAATGTCAACTACTAGGCTTAATCTCACTTGTTTAAGCCATTCCTCTAAGTTTTAGGGAAAAAAATTATTTCTGTCAGCATTATTGTTTGTATGAATATTGGTTTTAATAATAACATTATGATTATTGTAATACTGGTGATAACTATAATAATAGTAATAGAAATAGTATCTATCTAGCCTGAAAATTCAAGGGGTAGATAGTAAGGGTAAGCCTAGTAATTGACTTGTAAGTGGCACAATTTGCATACAAATGAATAAGTATATAGATTAATAAACAAATGAATAAATAAAACAAAACTGTAGACAATGGATATATGCATTCACTGCGAGTGTGAACAGTTAAAGAATGAATGTTGTTGTGATGTCACTGTATTTCAGGGCACTTTTGTCATGATTGTGAGAGTTGTATGGAATTGTATGACATTTTTTTATGTTAAAACACAGACTGCCTCTGGCTTACAAATGCAGACATGTACACATATATTCACATTATTGAAGTGATGATGTACAATTAAGGGAAATTCTTTTTTCACATTTCGTTGTTTCAAGAAATATACAAAATTACATTCTACATAATTTCTACCTCTAAAGTTTGACTGCTGTGCAATACCCCAATAGAGAATTAGTTCCTCTTAAATATTGAATGAAATTACTATTTTGAATATATGAAAATTCTATCATTTCATTTTTGAATATTCATCATTTAAAGGTTTTCTCTTGTGTATTACTAAGGTGCTTTTTTGTGAATGATAATGTAAACGGATAAATTTATTTTTAATACAAGTAGAATTTGCTGTGCCATGTTGTTTTAGTGCCATAACTTAGTCTTTTAGTGGTTAAGAAAACCAGATGTGTTTAGAGAAAACCAAAAGAGGTTCTAGTTGGGCTTTCCAATTGATGGCCCACAGGTGCAGTCATTCTGTTTTTTTAAGAAAATGAAAAAATGGTTATGCTCTTTTATGAGAGCTTCAGTTTTCTTTTCTTTTATTCTTTTTTGGTAACATCTTAAAACTTTGGCAAGTATAGTATGTGTAATTTTTACTGTTTATTGGCTGCATATTTCCAAATTGACAAATTGCAGGCTTCAAACCCAGGTCAGCCATTGCTGGGAAAACTTAAAAAACATGGGGAAAAAATTATATACATATATATATATATATATATATATATATATATATATATATATATATATATATATATTACATAAAAAAATGAAAAATCATATCATAATAACGGCAGAAAATCTGATAGTCCATTATGTTCATTGGAATCATAAAGATTGTCAAAACAGTTAGTACCTCTGGACTTTTGAACAAAATATGATTGATGTTGATATATTAAATTTTTTGTTGGGTTTTTGTCAACTGTTATCATATGTATATTTTTAGGTAAGCTAGGTAACCAGAGTAATCTACCAGTTGGGGACTTCTACATTTGGGATGGGTTTTAATGCTTGTTTAAATGTGATACAGTTGTGGTTTTAATGCAGTTAGGAGAGACTTTCTTCCGGTGATTTTCTTTTCCTTTTTCACTTTGTACGAGTTCTCTGAAGAATAAGTATATCAAGATATTTCCTTTTGTGTTGAATAGCCTTTTTTGAATGACTTTGCACTCCAAAACTAGGGATGTTTAAATATATATTAGAAAAATATATGGAAATGAATACTGGTGTATCTGTATGTGTATAGGTATATATGTATGTGTATGGGGTGGTGGGGGAGGGATTTTGTAGGTGGGTGGGTGGGTATGTGCATGTGTGTATATTACAAAAATAAATGTATTTTCATGACAATGATGGAAAATATACAACCTTTTTTTTTTTTGCCTTTTCAGTATTTTTGGTTTCAAGTTCAAGGTAAATGATTAAGCAGAACAGGATTTGCTTTTTACTTCTGGAAAAATACATATATTGCATAATAAACCCCTTTTGCATTTGCATAAGAAGAATTACATATCTTTGCAACATGGATGTACAAGACTAATTTAATGCAGACAAATATAAATTTCCTGTGTTTCTTTTAAAATGATTGAGTACAGAAATGTAAATTAAACTCTCTAATCATTTTATATAATTTCTGAATCTTTTCAGTAAGAGGAAAACTCAGCAATAATAATACTGTGATAAAAATAAAATCTATCCCTCCCCCCCCACCTATTTATTTCTCACAATATAAAATCATATAAAATCTAGGTTTCTAGAAATGCTCACTAACAAGTCATCATCAACTCTATGAAAGTTCCCTCCCTCTTCACCTGGCTTTCCTACTTATCAAGAAAGAATATGCCATAAAAATAGGCAACCCTGAAAATTTGGAAATTTATGTATCACTAAGAGGAGTCCACCTTTCCAACCTGTCACACCATACTGTCAACAGCATTGCACATGCCCTGTCGAATATTCATCTTGATTGTATTAGTCTGTACCATTTGCTGTGCATTGTCTTTTAGAAGAAGCATAAGAAGAGATCCCTCTCGCAGGCAGAAAGTGACTTGCAATATTGGCTAGGCAAAGGATTAAAATGGCTGATCCTTTCTGCAGCCACATGAAGCATGTGAAATGTATCATTGCACGCAAATATTAACAAATTTGATATAATATATGAGTTTTGCAAGCAACTAATTTACTCACAAAAAGTAGGCTACACTATGAAATTTTGTTTGGTAATAAAATCAAGAGGATAAATGCAAAAGCCATGACAGTATACTTGACCCTCACTTAATGAACTCCTCAAGACTTCACAACCCTGAATTTGCATTTCTCACAGTTAGTCTCCCATAAAAATCTTCATTAGAATGGCATACTGTTCATAAAATCAATGAAATTTACTCATTATTTTAAAAATTCTACTTTGACTTTCTTCATTTATTTAAGCCTCCTTGCTCACTTTGCAGTTAGTCTTCTCTAATACAATAAATAAATAACAATAGATAAACAAACTATTACATAAAGCAATAACAGTTAATGTTAAAAAATAAATGGTACTGAAGAAATAAATGACATGTTCTGCTTCAATACATCCTTGAAATGCGTCATACACTGAAACATTTATGAATAAGGGTGGTAGGTCACTGGTGCTGTACTTTTAAGCCAAAAGAAGCCAAAAATAACTGTTCTATTTGCACAGTAGCCCATGAAAGTGTTTTGCACATCAATGCTCAACATAACTAAAAATCTAACATTGATCGTGATGGGACAGAGGAGTTTTTTCCTTTTATAGTGCTTTGATTGGGGTGATCTAAAACCTGTATTCATGTAATGTACTCATACACCACATAAAAGCATTATCTGTCGTTGCCATACTGAAATGCACAAACACATTACTTAGCTAGCACCCTGAAAAATCCTAGCATCCGTCAAAATACTCTCCAATGATCCACGAGTCAGTAGTGCAGCTGTAATAATATGCATAACAAACCTTTTTTCATATTTTTCAATGACAACATGACTCCCTAAGGTATCATTAAACACCTTCACCTGAAACCTATGGTGATTCCATAACTAAAGGTTTATGTTATAATGGTCTTCTGTGATGAGAATAACACCTATACATTGAGATTACGAATATGGTACTGACTAGCACAGTGAAGAAAGAGAACACTCAGAAGTGCACTCAACTGATCAAGAAATTTCATAAGAAACTTTTAAGCACCACTGCTTTTCCCTTAGTACTGAACACCGAATACATTTATTATTGTATAATATTATTTTATTGAATAAGTTCATATCAAATGAGAATCTAGGAATAATTTCCTTTGCTGCTATTGCAATGTTTTACACTGATCCTTAGAGGATGAAAAAAAAAAGAATCCCCATCCTGTGAATATGTATATCTACAATCTTTGCTTCCTTTAGGGATTAATTTTTTTTGGTTCATCTCACTTTTTTTAACCACTTGCCACCAAGTGGCATGTACATACATGCCATGGCTGTTGTTGACTGAAAAACAGATGGTATCGTATCATGACCATCCCTGTGCGATTAGCTCATTGGGTGGAGTTTGTTTTTCTCCGATAGTAGCGGCGTCATATATATGGTAAAGCTTTTAGGCAATAGCACCTAAAATGAAGGCAAACCTTAAGATTTGTAATATCATTATAAATTATAGCAAAAAAAAAAGCTTTTAGGTGCCTAATGTTGCTCGCAAACTACCAAACGCGCCGGGCGCAAACAGGGGAAACTACCAATGCGCACCAACAATCCCGTTATCATGTCCACTTGCCAAACTCTTACCCAGCGGCACTGGGTTAACAGGTGGAAAAACTATATAACATTACATAAACAGTTCCCAAAGAATGATTTTGCCATTTTTCAACATATCTGAATGTTTCCTATCATACTGAGCATAATTTAGTGACTAATATTTCTGACTTCACTCTTAAACTTTTTCCTCATATTTCCAGAACATTTTACACAAACCATGGAGCTCCTTTCAAAATGTTCTGCATTTTCTTTAGATCTATAATCTTGTAAATTGATACTCTTTAAGTCTCTTTCAAGACTGAGCAATACCATGGGAAAAAATCTAATAAAAAAGGAATACACAATTTATATGAAAAATATAATAAATTACTACAAAAATAATGGTTGACTGAGCTGATCTGATTAGTATGCAGCTGTAACAGCTTTCCTTGAAGTAACAAATGACTATAATGCAAGTCTAATAAAAAAAAAACACCTCGCTCATTACTATAAATGAGCAACCGAGTTCTAGAAATGCAAAGGCTCAAAAAAAGATAAGAGGCTCTCTTACCCTGATATCAATAATAAATCTACAGCCTGGTTTACAACCTAACTTTGGCATCAAAATGCCATCAAAATGTTAATTTGTTAGATGATAATAAATAATGTTAATATCCTTGTTAAAGAAGGAACTTGAGATGTTGAAATCGTATTAAACAGCCTTATTCCAGATCTTTCACATTTACCCCTCTTACAAGAACGCATGCAGCTTCCACTTGAATTACAGTGTTTTAATAATCATGGGAGGTAATTCAGTAGCTTTTGACCAACTTTACTTTTGGTTGTCTTGTAACAAAACTGAAATTTAAGTAAAAATAACATAAAACCCTCTCTTCAATAAAAAGTATACTAAATTGCATGAACCAACCTTTAGTTGTCTATTTTATCACATTATCTATCACAAGTATAAATCCATTTCTAAAATTCTGCAAAATAGTTCTAAAATGGCTTGTACCCTTGTTGCCGCAGTCCCCAGCTGAGCTCAGATACTGGAACGGATCCTTCTCTCCTTAAAACACTCTTCCTCTGCAGGGTTATGATCACCAACATGGCTGCCAGAGTAACTGCAAGGACAACCATGAGAGTCATGCCAAGGGCCACCATAATGATCACCAGATGTGAGGTGCCATCTGAATTATCGTCAAAGTTGTCTGCACTGACTGGCGATCCATCTTCAAGGATGAAACTTTGGACTGGCTCTGGGTAAAGTGACGTCGTAGATTCATATGTGTCAGGACCGGGAGTGGTATCATTGAAGCCCATACAACTGTTTAAATCTTCAATTTTTATGTGGCCTATTGCACATAAGTGGTTACGTTTGCAATCAATGTCACAGACACCATTGTTGTAACCTGCAGAATTTCTCAGATAATACTGCTGAAACAGGCTATCATTGGTGGAAAGCTCTTTGTACAGGCCAGCCATGTTTGTTACATCCAACTTCTCTAGCCCATAAGAAGCCCTAGCATGATAGAAAACTGACCATTCTGGCATCTTTGAGGCAACTGTACTACCATTCTCTTCCTTTGGAATATCATTTAAATCACCCAAGTTCAAGTGGTACTGAGTGTAGTCCAGGATATCTGAAGTATCATGTGTGTAGAGACGGAGGGAGGGGTTAATTGCTGTACCTCCAGGGACTGGTTTAGGGTACCAAGGTGTCACTGATGGGGCAAGGAATGCTACACTCTGGAGCTCACCTGAAAAGGGAGAAAACTTCATTACTTTTTAAAATTTTCCTCTGGTCCAAACATAACAGCATAAGCTGTTCCTTTCTTTCTCTTGTTCCTCCTCATTTTGACCTTTTCCTATTGTATCCTATCCTCTACTCCAACTTTTCCCTTCCTTTTTCCTATCTTATAATTTGTTTGTTCTTAACAAGGGTAAATATTATTTACAGAGTACCTAAAGCATACAAGCACATTCAACTACCTACCTACCTACCTCGCACACTATGACGGCATTGCATGTACGAGATATGAATCCACTCTCTCTTACACACTCATACATTTCTAACACACATTATTCTTATAACTTTTCATATCATTTTACAATCAGGCTTAGATGGTATACAGATAATCACATCCTGTATTTGATGAACTGTATCAATAAGTCCAAAACAAAGCCTACTAATTCCAAACAATTCCATATATACTCACCACTATCTGAGGCAAATATCCTGAAGCTGTCAGTATGTTCATGACCATAGATCTGTGCCATGATAACTTTACCATGCTTGTTTAGGAGGTTGATGTAGTCAGAGTTGTAAGTGGCATTGAAGAAGGGTATCACAGCAAACCTTTCAAAATAGCCAGGAGGAGCATGAGCAGCTATGATCACCTGCAAATCAAAACATTTTTTGTAATAACATTTGCTTCATATCTTAGGAAGTGTAAAAAAAATATATTGCTAATTAAACATACATATAGAGTGTATTACAGGCAAATAAATGTGAATGATATGGGCAAATACATCAAAACAATGCAGCAAAAGATCAAATACAAAAATAAATAAACTAAATAAAATAGTCAAGAGTAAATTTTAAAAAGGCAGAAATATATAAAAAAAGATGATAAATAGCAAACTAAACTGACATTTCAAAAGTACCTTCCAGTGACTTTTTTTTTTTTTTTTTTAATAATATACAAAATATTCACTGTCTTAATGTAATATTATATACAATTGCACTTTCAGGACATATATGAAAGTAACTTATCGGCATTTGTTCTTTTCCTGGACTTAATGTGCAAGTTACACTACGAAGCACATAACAGAATTCATTAGCATGCATTACAACTCCTTTTACATCATAAAATTAAAAGCTTGTTGGCATGGAAAGCAATAAATAGACAAGTGGATGCCCAGATTTCTCCTTACATTGCTGTGGAGACTATTTATAGTCAGTTATAACATTAATGTCTTAACTAATTTACGACTAATAAATAGTAATATGTACTGCTCTTTAATTAAGCATCCTGCTGTAAGAATTCCTAATCTAATACACAGTGTTGAAAGGGACAAAATATGTAAAAGGGAAAAAATGTACAAAATGCAAACTTGCCTTTGAAGACCTGTCCTGTGCTCCTTCCAGTTTCTCTTCCAACCATGCAAATTGGCCACATGGATCAATTGCCTTTGTGCCCAATTGGTTATTGGCATAATACAGGTTTGTATTCACTACCAGAACCTAGAAGAGTAAGAGAAATCTAAGAAAATGAACTTACATAAATATCAGAATAAATTAGAAGATAATGTATCGTTCAGAATCTGTTAGCACTTGCTGTTCTTCTAATAAAAGAGCAGAACAAAAAGGGTCCAATACTGCCTATGGAACTCATTAAGTTAAAAAAGACAAAATGTGTTACTACAAAACCCTGTCTGCACTTACAGTTACACCCGATGGTAATATGTATTCATAGTAGCCACCTTTCTTGAAGTCTTCCTGTGCATCCTGTGGTAAGACTGCTGCCCAGCCCCCCCTTGTTAAGTACTGTCCGTAAAAGCTCTCACCCGCTACTGGAAAGTCGTCCTGCAGAGACAATAGATAAAGTGATTATTCCTGTTATTGTTCCTTAATTTAAAAAAAAGAAAGGTACAGAGAAACAAATTTTAGGAAGAGGTACAAGTAAAGGAGACAAAAAATCAGTTTCTTTAATAAAGCAAGCAAGAAAGAAAAATGTAACCTCTTGAATTTGCTTTCCCTATTACTAAATCTTTTTATTTTCTGAACACTGTTATGTTGTACCATAATTTGAATATCCTTATGTTTAACTTGTTACCAATCCTTATGAAAAAAAAAAAATAAATAAATAAAAAAAATAAATAAAAAATAAAATAAAGCCAAAGTATACAAAACAAAACAATAAATAATTTTCTATTTCCTCTCTTACTGTGGTTGCATTTTATTTCATTTCTTACACACCCATGGCCTGTAAAATCTTATCCTTACCTTTGGAAAAGCATCATGGTTCCCTAGCACTGGGAGGATAGGTATGTTCTCTGGAAAGGCTGTCCTAAGCTCGTTGGTGATGTTGCTGACGGTGCGGAATATAACAGAAAAATCGGGTTCTGGATCATTTGTATGGGGCACATTATCTCTGGAAATTAGGAAAGATAAAATTCTATATTAGTTCTTGGTTGATTTTTCTAGTTAAGCAATAATATATTCATAATTCACAAAGGCAGTTTAATCTTTTCATTCCAGAAGCTTAATCGTTTAGAATAAAAAAAAAGAAAAAGAAAAAAAGAAAATGACATGATAAAACATTAAAATTAGAAAAAAAGAAAAAGAAAAAAAAAAAAAGAAAAAAGAAAAAAAAGAAAAAAAAAGAAAAAGAAAAAAAAAAAAGAAAGAAAGAAAGAAAGAAAAGAAAGAAAGAAAAACAAAAGGAAAGGAGGAAACCCTGAAAACGTACCCAGTCCACAGTACAAACTCAGGCAAAGGATGTATCCTTGTCATTGCCTGTAAGGAACTTTTGACAAGTTTCCAAGGAGAGTCGCACAAGTAATTTCCATACGCTCCATTATGATAATCTGAGACTTGGTATTCATCATGGCACATCTTGGCTGGGTCCCCACTTTCACTGTACTGTTGGTCCCAGTGTATGTCTGTGATCTGCCAGAATTTTCCTGTTGAGTAAGATAAAAGGCATATTGAGAATATGTGCAAAAAACAACACAAATTATTAAACATACATACATAAATACTTGCATACATACATGCATGCATTCATACATACATAAATACATACATTGCATTCATACATACATACATGCATGCATTCATACATACATAATACATACACATACATACATACATACATACATATACAAACACACACACATATACACATATATATATATATATATATGTGTGTGTGTGTGTGTGTGTGTGTGTGTGTGTGTGTGTGTGTGTGTGTGTGTGTGTGTGTGTGTGTGTGTGTGTGTGTGTGTGTGTGTGTGTGTGTGTGTGTGTGTGTATGTATGTATGTATGTGTGTGTGTGTGTGTGTGTGTGTGTGTGTGTGTGTGTGTGGTGTGTGTGTGTGTGTGTGTGTGTGTGTGTGTGTATGTATGTATGTATGTATGTATGTATGTATGTATGTATGTATGTATGCATGATATGCATGCTATATCTATCTATCTATCTATCTATCTATCTATCTATCTATATACATATGTGTGTGCACAACATGTGTATGTGTGTGTGTGTGTGTGTGTGTGTGTGTGTGTGTGTGTGTGTGTGTGTGTGTGTGTGTGTGTGTGTGTGTGTGTGTGTGTGTGTGTGTGTGTGTGTGTGTGTGTGTGTGTGTGTGTGTGTGTGTGTGTGTGTGTGTATATATATATATGTATATTATATATATATATATATATATATATATATATATACGTATGTATGTATTATGTGTCTATATATATATAATATATATATATATATATATATATATATATATATATATATGTATATATATGTATATATATGTATATATGTATATATATGTGTATATATGTATATATATATATATATGTATATATATGTATATATATGTATATATGTATATGTATACATATATATGTATATATATGTATACATATATATATATATATATATATATATATATATATATATATATATATATATATATTATATAGACACACACACACACACACACACACACACACACACACACACACACACACACACACACACACACACACACACACACACACAGTGTGTGAGTGTGTGAGTGTGTGAGTATGTAAGTGTGTGAGTGAGAAGAGTGATGAGTGAGTGTGTATGAGTGAGTATATGAGTGAGTACATATCAATGAAAATAATAGTATCACGCAAAAAAGTCTCAAATACAATTTCTAGGCTTCTGGTCTCAAGCCCTTCCTTACACAGAGGCTCCATGAAAAGTGGTAATAAAAAAGGTGTAGCTTCATGCAAGGGCTGTAGCCTCTGTTTTTGTTTGCTTTCTAGCATGGATAATGATCATCAACCATGTACATTCTACCAAGATAAAGCATAAGCAGCTTCCTTTTCTGAAAATAAATAACTAAGCAGGTCTACTAGCTCAAATCTTAATACAATACAAAGGTAGAGGTTTGCTGGCCTTTTCATGAGTACTGACAAGCATGGAGGCTGCAATGATTTGTTCATACCACCCTATTTAAATTACTAACAACATTAATGGTAGCCAGTTAGAACTGATGAAAACAAATACAGTGGTTAGTAGATGCCATAGCCAATCAATCAACCAATTAATACCAGAAATGCTAGCATCAGAGAGGTGATATTTTTAGTGAGCTTAACGTGAAATGCAAACTTCAAATCTGACACAAAGTATAGATGTTACAGAAAATACTGTTAGTCATGTATAAAATATTATTTTCATTTTTTTACTGGTGCCAAAGTAAATATCAAAAACCCAATGCAACTGGGAAAATGTTAGGTTTAAGGTAGTATTATTTTCTGAAATGTGTCAATGCATAGATGACTCCACAAATGCTCAGCCACCAAGGAGTCAGTTATTAGTCTACATGACCTCACCTGATTTATCCCATCTCTGAGTTTTTTTTTTTTTAATGCTATAAATATCAAAACTGTTCATATCATTACTGATATCATAATCATTACAGTGTTATCAACAATACTAATAGCAATATAACATAAAACATATTCCCAAACATAAAGGAAATGGGTAAACAGGTAAGGTAGATAGTACTAGTAATTGGCATATTGGTGACCAAGTACTTATGAAGCTATCTGTGTGAATACAATCAATATCCTAAACCTACTGTGGGCATAGTAAGTATAGTATTGGGAAAATAATTGGTGGACAAAAATGGATGTCCAGGACAAACTACATAAAATCAATAGATTGCCTAATGCTGATACTCCTCATCCATGACTTTTGGTGCAGTTAGTTCATGAATTTTACAGTATGGATGCACTCACCAGAGACTAAGTCACCAACTCCATGTCACAAAATTTATTCATCGATCTAAGTTGCCGTGACTGGGCAACATCCCAAGGGGAAAGCCCCCCAACACCCTCCCTGGAAACAATGTCTTCACCTCGTATGCACAGCAAGATAGAGCCGCAACTCGGTAGCACCAAGTGGAATTAGGCTGAGAGTGGCGCTTTACACAATCTTTTTCCTTTATCTGTGGTGTTACAGTTCATACCTGCAAATTATTTCTTGCACTGAGGAGTGCAACTTTTTGTTCTCTACAAGAATATGATATTCAATTTGCCATAACTTAGTTTGTCTATACTGTAAAGATTAACCAAAATCAATATCTATATTAGACAACTTGAGAGTAAAACATGACATATGTTTAATCTTAATTTATATCAATTGCCTTCTTTATTTTCAGTTTAGAATCAAACAGTTGCATGCAGAGGTCTGGTCATGCTCAGGGCCAGCTCCTTGACTGCATGTTCCAATGACTTAAGTATATGGCCTAGAACTGAGAAATATTAAAAGAAAGGGAGATATTTTGGATATTTTTTTGCAAAATATAGATGAAACATGAAATAAATTTCCTTCAGATATAAATTTCAATATCAATATCTTTTTTCCCTCTCTGATTGCATGGTCCCCCCCCATTTCGACATCCAGGGCCATTGCCCCTTTGCCTCTCCCTTTGCATGCCACTGGGTGATACCTTTCATCAAGAAAAACTTTTTCCAAATAATAACTGATTCAAGTGATAAGATAGGATAAGCTATGCACAAGAATGAGGGTGCCATTAACCTGTTGGCTCTTGCACATGAACCAAAAATTAGGCATTAAACCTTCATGAGTGGCCACTCTCCCAGATATCTGGCTTGTTGTCCTGGCCTGCACAAACACTCCAGTGCGATATCAAGACTACCTCCTCTTTGCAATGCAGTGAACCTTTTCACTAAATCCTGATTTTCATTGTTTTGCCATTTTCTAAGGTTTATATTTGTCAATTATAGACTGGTAATAAGCTGTTTTCAGTCCAAGGACTCCATGTTGTTTCCAAGATTTTAAAACTCTGTGCAATAACAATAAAATTATGTGGGCATTGTAACCTCCCTTCAAGACTGCCCTCTCACAGGTATGGCTTACTGATATTACATTTCACTTTCGTGGACTAGTGGATATAGCATGAGAGCTGCATCAATCTCCCTCTGAGTACTTTGTGCACTCATTACGAGTCATCCCTGTCACTTGACATTCTGCAACGATTTAGCATGACAAGACATTCTAGTCTCCCTCCCCTCTGCCAAATTTTTGTGACAAGGGTTAATGTTACAGTCTTATAAAGCCTCAACATCTGATATATAGGAGCAATCTTAATAGTCCTTGAAAATTCTATTACATTCTGATTATGTCTGAAGATCAAATGCAAACATTAACTTTATAAATTCTACAGATCTGACATGTTACCTGTTACAATACAAAAGGAAAAATTTGGAGAAATTCTTATTCGAAGACCCATAGCTACCACACATACAAAAAGGCTTGTTCAGTTCTGATGAGTCTTTGTTCCAATCCCACAATCTTGCAGTCTCATTTATCCTTCATTTCACAGTTCTTACCTCCGTTTCCCTTGGGGGTGAGAGCTCTTTCCAGAGAGAGGGAGGCCACCATCCCAGCCATTCCCGCCCATAACACGGCTCTCATTGCTCTTTCCGCCCATTCCGCCATTGCTTGACTGCTCTTTCTCGGTCGCTTCCTTGTCCTGGTTTGTTGGCAGCTATCCCACAACACGGGTGAGAAATGAAATTATGCTGCCAACATCAGTGACGTCGTAGATCTTGCTTTGTTGTCCCCTGAGAGAGCAACAAGTCGTTCGTGGAAGGAGATGCACATGAATCCGTGAATCCGTCTGCATCGCGAAATTATCTACATACATACATACATACGCACACAGCATACATCTATCATCATAACGTATATATACATATATAATTATATATTATATATATATATATACATACATATATATATATATATATATAATATATATATATATATATATATATATATATATATATATATATATATATATATATATATATATATATATATATATATATATATATATATATATATATATATATATATATATATATATATTATGTGTGTGTGTGTGTGTGTGTGTGTGTGTGTGTGTGTGTGTGTGTGTGTGTGTGTGTGTGTGTGTGTGTGCGTGCACACACACACACACCACACACACACACACACACACAACACACACACACACACAACACACACACACATATATACATATTATATTATATATATATATATATATATTATATATATATATTATATATTATAATATATATATATATATATATATATATATATATATACACATACACACAGTGGATCCCTTGAATTCACCTCTAGCATGGAATGGCAGGACACTACG